AATTCATGATCAATGGCTTTTCCTAAAATGATTGTGTTGTGTTTGGTGACACAAATATGATCACTAATGCTGATGTGCGTTAACTACCATTTAAGTATTCCACTATTGCGCTTTATATTTCATTGTACTAATGGTGGTAATTTAGAATATATATAAAATGTTGGTGACAATGTGAACATAAATAGATATTAAATAAAATGTAAAAGTTAATGAATTGAAATAATTCAAATGGACAAACGAAATTAGAGATCGAGTTAAATTTAGAGTTAAGTTTTTAGTTAAATCAATCCTGGTAAGTTATATTCATCCTTATTTTTCCAAGTCCAATTGACTTAGGTTTAACTCAACTAAATTAATATATCTAACTCAATTAATTTTATATTCATGATGATACATCAAATACATATTATATATGAACAAACATATAGAGTTGTTAATTTTAAGTTTAAAGCGAATGGGACTTTATATTTTAAAAAGAAAACGGGTGGACTTTATGAGATTAGAAAAATAACCATTAATATGATTATTATTAGGTTTAAATGCCATATGTTAATGGCCTGACGTGATAAAAATAAAGTAAGAAAACTAAAATCACAAAAAAATAAAAAATAAATTTAAAGTGCATTAAAGTCTAATTACTGTCAACTAGGAAATAGAGGACAAATAGGAAATTAAAACAAAAACTGCCAAAATATGGTGTATATTCTATCGTTTCTGAAAAATATATTAGATAATAATTATTTATGGCATAACTACGAAGGTCATACACAAATCACGCTTCTTTTTACGTGACGTGGACAAACTTAATAAATTAAGGAAAACTATTTTTTAATTTAATATTCAATTAATCACAAGGACGATTTTTTATTTTATTATTCAATTAAATATCACCACCGACAACGGAGGCTGCCCAGGTGGCACAAAAGTCATAATTATTTATTTTATATTTAAAAGACGGAAAAGAGAACAAAATGTAGAAGCCCGTGAATTTCTTCCTATAACTTACAGTAACAAAACGTCGAATATATGGAAAATTTTAACACCAATTATTAATTCTATCTTATTTATTTTATAATTAAAAATATATAATATAAGTAGATTTGACATGTTAAGCCAATGCTTCCTTTTACTAAAAATCACTTAACCTCACTTCATGTTCAAGTAAATTAACTTTTATTTCTAATAATGATCATAATTTACCCGATCAAGATACAGAATATTAATATGAATTAAAAAAAATGCAGGAAGGAGGAAAGTAAAGGCGTGCCCATTTCAATTCTGGTGTAATTTTTGAAGTAAAAAAATGAGTAGGACAATGATGGAGGGTTTGGTCAAACCATAGTTAAAAATATAACTAATAATGATAAATGCAGACATTATGCTATGACATTTAATTAATATGTTGAGAATTATTAAACCAGTGGACCCATATTCAATGAAATACACAATACAGATCTAACTACCCAATAATGAAAATCAACAAGAATATTATAATCCACAAAACATGAAAGTTCAATATATATATATATTATAATCCACACAGATATATATATAAATATATATATATATATATATTATATTATATTATATGAACATTAATATAGTTAAAAATATATATGTTACACGTACATTCACACGATTAAAAAAATACATGTTTTTTGTGCATTTGTATTGTTAAAAACACATGTGAACTATGCATTTGTATGGTTTAAAATACACATGTTACTCGTGCATTCTCATTGCTAAGAGCACACATGTTACTCTTGCATTTGCTTAATTAAAACATACATGTAATCCGTATATTCACATTGTTAAGAACACAGATTCAAACACATAATGAAAATAAATGATAATTTCAAATTTGAATATTCTAACAAAATTAAAATAAGAAATTGAAACATGATAATGGAAAATTTGTAGAAAATGAAACAATTTGATTTCAATTTATTATATTACCACAATAAATGAAAATTTGAAGTATGTAGAAAATTTTCATGTTCTTAAAATTAAGAATTATATAACCAATAATAGCAATGAGCGGTGATGTGTTAAAGTTCAATCTCAAAACCAATTGACAATGAGAGGAGTAACCCAACAAATATTTAAATAATTTCCGAGAAAATGAGGTCGGTGATGTGAGACTTATTTCCCAACATGCTCCATCCACATAACTTTGTCGGACCAGACGAAATGTTACATTTGACCCATAACTAAATGACATATTTTGGCACATTTCTGGATCTGATACCATGTAAATGTTTCATCTCAAAACTAATTGGCAATGAGAGGAGTATCACAACAAGTATTTAAATCATTTCCGAGACAATGAGGTAGGCAATGTGGTACTTATTTCCCAACATTATGCCCGCTGCAACCTCAATTTCAACTTTCAAACACTCATAACTTTACGGAAAACATAAATAGCAAATACATTTGTTATTTCTGAATTTCAATTCTAATGATAAAAAATTCTAATAATAATTTCAACTTTCAAACATTCATCGTACTAGGAATTTTACGGAAAACATAAATAACAAATACATTTGTTATTTATGATTTTCAATTTCAATGATAAAAAAAATCCAATAATAATAGATAATAAATTATGATTTTTGGGGAAATAAATTATTTTTCATTAAGTGCAATAATAGTGATATATATTGTTATAATATGTGAGAACATGTTTTGGAGAAAAAACTTTTATGGAGAGAATGACATGTGTCATGAATAACATTTTTTTTCTTATATAGTAATAGATACTCAAATTGCACTGCATATTAATTTTATTTAAAAGTCAACAATATTAAAAATGAATGATATATAATACAGCGATAATATAAAAAATACTTAAATTATCGCTGTATATATCATTTTCTCTGTATATAAATTGTATATAAATGTAATAAGTTAACTTGTTCTTTTGGCAGACATGATGTTTTTATGCACCATCTTAAAAAAAAATTATCTACCTGCGCCACGTTAAATAGAATAGTGAAATATATACGTATGATAGTGTAATGATTTCTACATAGTTAATTATCATTTACTTTTCATTAATATTATTTTTTAAGAGTTAATAATGATGGAATATGAATGGTGAACAATACAATGATAATGTAAAATTATTTTATGGAAATAGAATTTAAAAGGTAACATGTTCTTCTTGTGGTAATTGTATGCTATGGCCATTAAAGTATTGGTTTATTTCTAGCATTCTATGTTTTGTTTTGGGAAATATATTTTATATTTTTGGGTCAATGGTTTATACTTTAAACATGTCTGTCATGCTCATTATCTCAACCCCGTTTGTGGTGAATATAATTTATCAACTGGACACATTAAATAATGAGAGGATCAAGTCAGATCTACAAGCTACAACTTATGCCAAAATAATAAATTATGATAGAAATAGTCAATAAGAGGGCTTAAAACTTAAAAGTGATTTCGAAATGATTTTAGGGTATATTTATCTAATGATTTTCGTAATCAAAGCTTTGAGTATTAATGATAAGGAGTTATAAAGTGATAAGAAGATATTAGCTTTACAATAGTTACATATATTATTTTACAATATCATATCTTGAACTATTAAATGTTTAGCTTTACAACATACATATATTATTTTTAGCCTCCTATCCTAAACACTAATAAGAATTGCTATTAAGAAAATCCTAATTTACAAGACATATTTTTTTTATAACTTGAAATGCATTTTTATATTAAAAAATATATTTTTTATTCCATGTGTTTTGGGGTGAAAAAAAATTCTCTATATTTTAATAACAAGGCTCATAATGCTTGAGGCATATCTGAAGTTTCTAAATATGATCTTAAACTTTCAATTTTTCTAGAAAAATATGTTTTTTACATAGACAAAACTCATTGTTGGACCATTACACGTGCTTCTAGTTAAGGAAATTAATAATTAGTTGGTGATTAGGAACACCTTTGCTATATATAAATTACTTAGTATTTATTACTTTCTTCATTTCTTTTTATGCTTGATAGGTCAAAAAAAGAAATTAGTCTTGACTTAATAAAAATAATCCCATATGATTAAATTAGTCTATATATCATTGTCACGGGTTAGTTAATAAAAAATCAATGCTTTTCTTAAATGAAAAATAAATTTAAGGCAAAAATACATTTATAAATGTTCAAATTAGTTATCATCATAAAGTGGTAATAACGAAACCTTAAGATTGTTTAATGCATATAGGTAATCCTAACTAGTGGGAGGAAAACATTACATAAGGTTGTTAACAAAAGTTGGTATACCTTGATATTATCCAATCTTTTTTATGCAGGTATTATTTAAACTCGGCATAAATTCTTCTTGAAGTTGATGATCTTCCTTAATCTTAATGGAAAAAGACAAAATGATATTACATATTTTATTTTCTTTGATTTTTTGGGTACCCCTTTCTATTAATGGACATGAGTCTTACTCAATCTTAATAGGTATGGTCCATCACAAGCACGATCTTTAGGTCTAAAAAAATTTCCATAATTATTACTAGTACTTTATTTTGTCCTTATAATACAAAGGCAATATCTTGTTACTTCAATCTAATATCTCTAATAGAAATGTTTCTATTTGTCAACTTTCTTTCTTCATAAAAGTCACCAAATTATTATTTTGACACCAATTTTTTTCAACATTACTTTATTAGTTTAAATAGTCTCAACTTAAAATCTATTTTAGGCCTAATTTTATATTGAAATGTTCTTTAACCTTGAGTGGCTTATCTTTCCCAATCTAAGTTAAATATATTGAAATGAAGTAGAGATATGGAGTCCCTAACAATATTTCTAAAAATTAATTTAGTCTCTAAATTAACTTTTTACGTGGGAGATTAAGCAAGTTTCCAAAATTTTGAAGAATGAATTTGATATATGTAAATACAAATGATTAGATTTTCATTAATGATAAGGTATTATTTTATGACATAGTTTTAAACACTTAAAATATCAAATTGATAATTAAAATCTGCCATCTCAAATTGCAATCTATCTACCACCGTAGTCCACTTTAATTACACTCACACATCACCAAATTAAAGAAAAACGGATAAAGCTTTTACATTAATACCTTCCCTGATTGAATCTGCATGTGCCAATTTTTGTTTCAACTTTGCACCAAAATGGCTCATACATGAATGGAATCATTGTGGTCGGTCCATGGTATTTGTTATTCCTGTTTTATACAATTATTAAAACATCAAAGTAATTAAAATTACCGGAAAAGTGAAATATACATGAAAACCGTGAATGAATGATTTTTATGGGTAGTGGAATGAATGTTATATTTACCTTCTTTTGTTTTTTAATGTTAAAAAAGGTGGATCCACGCAATACTCATAGATCTGGAACTGTAAATCAAAAAGAAAGAAAGAGATTAAAAGTTAACAGTACAGTTAAAACACACTAAAATCTAGCAAACTCCGTACACACAACCATTTTATGTTTTTTAAAACATGTAACATGTATATCAGCTAATCATATCCCATTTATTTTAAATTATTATTGAATTTTTAAGAAAAACAATACAAATAAATGATAAATGATTTACTGAATGTGTTAATTTTTACATTGATGTAATCTAGAGCGTACACACATACATTCATACGTATACAGAGTTTATACTTACATGGAAAGTGTATGTATTGGGGAAGAGAGAGAAAGGGTAGTATTTAATTTAAAGACATAATCTACGCCGCGTTAGGAGATCCTATTTGCCAGTTTGATACAACCTTGACTTCCACATTTGAGTGTATAAGTTTCTCTCTTTCTTTTATTCTTTTTATCTCTTCACTTCTTCTAATCTAATAATTGCCACTCACAAACCTTACTGGCTCATGGACCCCGGACACACAAACACAAACACAAACAACAACTTAACTAAAATGACTTTACTTCAAACCACTCTTTCCATTTCTACATTCTTAATCTATAACTTAACACACTCACCCACTTCATTACACTTTGCCGGCCAAACTTCTACCCTTTTTCTTATTCACTTTTTTCTCCCTCACCTAACTCATATATTCATTTTTCAATACTTATCAATATTCGGGAACAAATGTTCAATTTTTGAGAGCAATAACTACTTACTTAAGTGAAAGATTAATGCCTTACTTACTTATATATAAGGGAATATACTCTTCTTTATATAAAAAAATTTAATGCTACCCTGTGGGCTCCACCTTTACCTCACTACTACTTGCTATTGCTATACCTACTATTTTATTACACTCACTCACATTGCGATTATTTTGGTTGGTGTATATTATTTGGTGATGTTAGAATAAAAAAGAAAATGTAATAGTAATATTGAGCTGTCTTTTTAATAATGTTTGTGGTTTGATTGATGCTTTATCTCTGGATCTCTCTGTCTCTCAATACAATTGTATCTTCTCTCTTACGCGTCTTCATTTTCACACATATCATCTATTTCTATTTCTATTTCTATTTCTCTCTCTCTATCTTCTTCTTCTTTCTTTATACCACTCTCACTCTATCTTTCTCTGTCTAGATACTTAGTCTTAGATTGGGACCAGCCACCGTCGGTGGCTGCCTTATCAAGGAATCCAAAATACTCTCTCACACAAACAAACTTGTTGGTCGTTTCTTATTACAAGTAGGATTCATTACATTACATATTTATTCAAAACGAAAAAATAGGAGTGGGTTTTTTTTGTTGGATCGGTTAATTGGTTCTGATGGTAGTGATTGTTGAATGCAAAAGTGGATCTTGTAAAGGGCAACCTCAAAATCAGATCTTTCTTGGTCTTTCACACTATTGAGGTTGTTGTTGTTGTTGTTGGTAGTGGTGTTTGGTTTATTTTGAAGATTAAGAAGTGTGAAAGAGTGAAGTGAGTGATGAACACAGGAGGTAGACTCGTTGCTGGTTCCCATAACAGGAACGAGTTTGTGCTCATCAATGCTGATGAGAATGCAAGGGTTAGTTCCTATTCCCCTCTTCATTTTGCATCTCTGGTTTTCTTGTTTTTTAGAAGAGGGTTTTTGGGATTTTTGTTTATTTCTTCTTCTGATCTTGGGTTCTGCAAATAAAGTCTCAATCTTCTTCAGTTCTTTGTTTTCCCACTTTCTTCCGTGTCGGTGGTCTTCAAACAATTTTGTATTTTGATGCATCCTCTGTAGTTAGATCTTTTATTTTATTTTTTTGAGTTGGGGAAATAGTGCCTTTCAATTTATCTCCTCAAGTATTGGATATATGAAGATTGGGAGCTTTTTGTTAATCAAAATTGGAGTTATATTTTTTTGGAGAATAGTTTCAGATTTAATTGTACTGTTTGACCCTCTGGAGTGAGTAGTTAATAGTCTGCGATGTATAAAAGTTTCTTCAGATTCTATGTGTTCTCCCCTTTTCCTCCCAAAATTACTGGCAGATTAGGGTGGAACATTTTACAAATGCTTATTGTGTTGTCACTTACTGAAAGATTTGATTTTGATGTGTGATTTTATTTGCCTGTGTTGGTTTATTAGCTTTGAAATTATCAATAACTAGTGTGTATTATCATGTAATTAACTTTGTCTCTTTCTTTGCCTTCATTTTCTCATTCATCTGTGCAACAAAGATTACTGGTCGATTGATACTTGGTTTAGTAACATTTTCATAGAGCTGAATTTTATGAATGAAATCTTCTTTGAGAGCTACATAATTTAGTTAATAACACTAAACTTTTTTTTTTCGACTTGGTTTTTCTCAGATTAAGTCTGTCCAAGAACTGAGTGGACAGATATGTCAGATTTGTGGGGATGAGATAGAGGTTACGGTGGATGGGGAGCCCTTTGTTGCCTGCAATGAGTGTGCTTTCCCGGTTTGTCGGCCTTGCTATGAGTATGAGAGAAGAGAGGGGAATCAGGCATGCCCCCAGTGTAAGACCAGATACAAACGTCTCAAAGGTGAGATTGCTTTTGGATTCCTCTTTGAATTTTGTAACTGACCTCGGTTGTAGACATTTTCTTACATTCTTAGTACCGATGGATGAATTACAGGGAGTCCTAGGGTCGAAGGTGATGAGGATGAAGATGGTATTGATGATTTGGAACACGAGTTTGATTATGAGAACCCTGATTCTTATGGCCAGCAACCAATTTCAGAATCACTGTATTCCGGACGTGGGTCTCATAATAATATATATGGTATCCACACACATTTGGAGCATGGCTCGCCCTCTCTCAATTCTGAAATCCCACTCTTGACTTATGGGGAGGAGGTATATCTTCAAATTTTCCTTTTATGTTATGTCTGTTTTTTTTTTTTTTTTTTTCCATTTTTGGATTTCTTCACACTTGCAACAATGATCCTTACATAATACTATTTCTGCCTTTTTAGGATCCTGATATATCTTCTGATAGACATGCTCTAATTGTCCCCCCATATATGAATAATGGGAGTAGAGTTCATCCCATGCCTTACCCTGATCCGTCTATTCCATGTAAGTCTTGCGCAATTGTTTGTTTCTACAATTTTACATTTCATATTATCTATATATGTTGTCATCCTGATCCTTCTTTTTTAGCAGTGCAACCAAGACCAATGGTTCCAAAGAAAGACATTGCGGTATATGGGTATGGAAGTGTGGCTTGGAAAGACCGGATGGAGGACTGGAAGAAAAGACAGAGTGACAAACTTCAGGTGGTGAAGCATGAAGGGGATAACAATGGTGGAGGTTTTGGAGACGAGCTTGATGACCCTGATATGCCCATGTAAGTCTTTCAACTTTCTATTTTTCTCCCCTCCATGTTCTCAATTGTGCTACATCACATATCACGTAATTTTTTTTCTTTCTGTATTAAGATTTTTATCTCAATTATATCAGGATGGATGAAGGCAGACAGCCACTTTCTCGGAAGATGCCTATCCCTTCAAGCAAGATAAATCCATACAGAATTATCATAATTCTCCGCCTTGTAATCCTTGCCCTTTTCTTTCATTATAGAATTCTCCACCCAGTTACTGATGCATATGGCTTGTGGCTGACATCAGTCATCTGTGAAATATGGTTTGCTGTATCATGGATAATGGATCAGTTTCCAAAGTGGTACCCTATACAGAGAGAAACATATCTTGATCGTCTTTCGCTGAGGTAACTGAACTTACCATATCTGGTGATTTTTATTTCTTGACTTGCATTTATTCTGTACACATTATATTTTAGTATTTCTTGTTCTAATTTCATGCTCAAGTTCCTATTATGTTGATCAAGATTGGCTTCTTACATTGCTGCAGATATGAAAAAGAAGGGAAGCCATCTGGGTTATGCAACGTGGACGTGTTTGTCAGTACAGTTGATCCTTTGAAAGAACCTCCTCTGATAACAGCAAACACTGTTCTTTCTATCCTTGCTGTTGATTATCCAGTTGATAAAGTGGCATGCTATCTCTCAGATGATGGCGCCGCCATGCTTACCTTTGAAGCACTTTCCGAGACATCTGAATTTGCTAGGAGATGGGTTCCTTTTTGTAAAAAATACAATATTGAGCCCCGGGCCCCAGAGTGGTATTTCGGTCTGAAGATCGATTATCTGAAAAATAAAATACATCCAGCATTTGTCAGGGAAAGGAGAGCAATGAAGGTTTCAGCTTTCTCTCCTTTCCTGTTTTTCTTTTTATATAGTTTGTTCTTGAACCCAAAGGATACAAACATTTGACACTATTAATTCCTTTTACTTTTGTCTGTTACAGAGGGATTATGAAGAATTTAAGGTCAGGATTAACAGTTTGGTGGCTACAGCTCAAAAAGTTCCTGAGGATGGGTGGACCATGCAGGACGGGACTCCTTGGCCTGGCAATAACGTGAGGGATCATCCTGGCATGATTCAGGTAAGATGACATGTCAGTTTAACAGATACCAAAAGTATTTTTGTATGTAATGCTGGGCTTCTGGTGAGATGATGTTGAAGTCCGTCATTTCATTTTTTATTGATATTTTATTCATAAAAAAATGATTTGATGAGCATCCATTGTCTGCTAGTTATTAGTTCCCATGTATACTCATCTTCAAACTGGTTTGCATTATATACTGTAAGTATCCATGCTTTGCAAATAGACTTGCATATGCCACCTTCAAGCTTTCACTAGAGGATTTGGATTCTAGTGATCAGCATTTCACTTGACCTTTGGAGATGGAAATGATGACATTCCTTTTTTGCATTTTACAGGTCTTCCTTGGTCATGATGGAGTTCGTGATATTGAAGGAAATGAGCTACCTCGCTTGGTTTATGTTTCTCGAGAAAAGAGACCGGGCTTTGATCACCACAAAAAGGCAGGGGCAATGAATTCACTGGTAAGCGTTAAATTATTTTACTTAGGTTCAGGTTCAACTTATGATCCAGTAGCCTTAAATAATGCATTTTTGTAATAATTATTATTTGCAGGTCCGCGCATCAGCAATTATCTCAAACGCTCCTTTTCTTTTGAATGTTGATTGTGATCACTACATTAACAATAGCAAGGCACTTAGGGAAGCTATGTGTTTTATGATGGACCCTCAAGTTGGGAGGAAGATTTGTTATGTACAATTTCCTCAACGATTTGATGGGATTGATCGTCATGATAGATACTCAAATAGGAATGTTGTATTTTTTGATGTAAGTTTTTGCCTCGTGTTTCTTTGCTTATTTGGATATTTTCCTTTCTGCCCTTATTACAAGTACT